TGTTTTTCAAGGAGTATTGTGAGGTTTTTCTTTGAGTGTTTCCTTGGATGTCTCTTTGGAGTGTTTTTAGAGAATTGTCAAAAAAGGAAATTTTTAGGAATTTTGAGATTTGCGGGAAAGAGTTTTTTTTTTTTTATATCTTTGTCTATTTGTTATTTGAAATATTTTTTATATTTTATAGATATGATTTTTATTATAAATGTAAAGATTTTTGTTTTTTATTAAAATTTTCTAAAAAGAAAATTTGAGATAAATAAAAAAGAATTTTTGCAATATTTTTTAAAATTTGATATTTTAACATAACCAAAATTAAATTAGTAATAATAATATACAGCAATATTTTAACAGTTTTTAAATAAAGACAAGGTTTTTCAAAAATTATATTAACTTGATTGTTTATATTTAATAGGCTAGTATTAAGTTTCTTTTCTGAAGGTGTGAAATGTTTAATGTAAACAACTAGATTATTTAAATAATCAATAAAGTTTCATATTTAATGCTTGTTTGCATTTTAAAAAAACAAAAACTAATTATAAATTTTATTTGTTTCTAGAATTTCAACATTTGAAATAAGTTAATCATACATAATTGCTTGCACTTTATGATAATATATAAAACTAATGCATCAATAGTTATTTTCAAAATAATAAATTCCTTTAAATTATGTAAATATTTTAATTAATAAACGTTCATTGGCCAAAAAAAGAAATCAATATAAAATATAAATTTTCGGTTAATTACTTATGTACCCCGAGCCTTTATTTGTGTCTTTTGAACTTATCGATCATCTTGCATGCTCATTCATTGTTTGTATAAAACTATACTATTTGTTTTGTATCTCGTGAACCTATTCTGCACGCGTCCCCAAACTCGCTTTACATGTCTTACGTTTTGTAGCCTATCTACCTACCCTACATATACTCGTGCTCATAGAAAAATAATTTTTTTTGACATATGTTTAGCGATATTCTACGCATAATGCAGGAGTTACGCGCAACCTGAATAAATACTACACAAAAAACATTTGCATTGCTGTCTTAAAATAGAAATTCACATTGTTTTTCATAAATGTAATGACGAGTGCTTGTCAACAATATTATAAATCTAGGGCGTGTAGAGACACTCAATTATTGTTAAAAAAAGGGCATCATGAGAGGAAAAGTCATTTTGTCGACGATAAACAGATTTGTATTCGCGATCGTATTTTTAAGCGCGGCGGCAATTTCAATTACTCTCTCAAAGGAAGACCATTGTGCTATATCCGATTTAGTTGTTTTTGGTGATTCGTATTCAGACAATGGAAATCTATGGAGGGCAACTAATAAAATTTTCCCTTCTCCAAAATATTATTTTCAAGGTAAATTTATTTTTTAAATTCCTTTTGAATGTGAAAAAATCGAGTGTTTTAAAAAAACATCTCATTTTTTAGGAAGGTGGTCGAACGGGCGTGTTTGGATAGAAGATTTGAGTTGCATGTTACGTGCGAGCTTAACTGACTTGGCTTATGCAGGGGCGCTCACCAATAATAGCATCTACGAAAATGAATACCCTTTTACAACTAACAACATTTCAGACTTCATAATTCCCTCTGTTGATGAACAAGGTCTGTATCGTTATTATTTCTTCATTTCCTTATTCCATTTTTTTTGAATATTCACTTTACATACGTATATGCGTATACATTTATCATTATATTATTTTCTTTAGTACAAAGTTTTTCACCATATGTGTCGTGTTATCCTCCTAAAACGACATATGTTTTTTGGTCTGGAATTAATGATTGCACGGTAAACTATAGAAAATTCATTAGAATTCTAGGCCTTTATTTTATTTTTATTTTATTATCTTATTTATTGATTTTATTTTATTTTCCAGAAAATTTTCAATTTCAATCTCAATGATACCCAGAAGAAAGTCGTGTCTTCTATTGAAAATTACATTTCTTATCTCGCATCCAAGGGAGCTAAGAAATTTTTAGTAATAAATGTTCCCGCTGTCGATAAATCACCTGATTATAACAAATTCGATAATAGGACAAAACTACAAGATACAATTAAAAAATTTAATAATTTATTAAATGCCACCATGTCGAAGTTAGATCGATCGAATCGAAATATCAATATCAAAGTATTTGATTCTTACGGATTTTTTAAAAGAATTATCGAACAACCTCAAATATTTGGATTCAAGAATGTTGTTGACCCTTGCGTGAATGCTACGAATGATATGGGGAGAAGAGGTTTAAAAGATGTTAGGAATCATTTACTTGAAAAAAGACATCACGCAGGCGGTAAATGTAAAGTCGGCAACCATGAGAATGACGGGGACAACAATTGTGTTACTAAAGAGGAATTATCCTTCCATTCACCAGGTGCTTGTGAAAATCCTAATGAATATTTTTGGTGGGACGGTTTACATCCAAGTGAAAAAGTACACAAATTAATTGCATCAAGAGTAAAAGAGTTCATATGCAATCTGAAGGAATGGAAGTGTTAGTACGTAGCCTAATGAGTGGTTATCTTTGTTATGGGTAGTTACATACTGACATAAGTTTTTTTTAAATAATCAAATTCGTTATTTATTAAGATTCTATAGAATAACACAATCACAACGATTTATTATTATTACTGTTATTGACATAACCTAACCTGAACTACTTCGTCAAGATTTTTTTTTTTTTTTGAATATGGTCAACGCATCTAAGCCTCGCGCTCATTATAAACCTTTTTTCTCATGATCCAATATTACATTCACATTTTGAGGAAGTTTTTCAACACCTATTAGGTCATTGTTATCTATAAGATGCAATTATACTGTATATTGTGATTTGCAAACAGTTTTTCAATATGTCATCAATAAAGATTAGGTCATCCGTGAAGAAACCACACTCTCGAAATGCATAAGCGCACTCTTGACAGATCGAAGAACCGATCTCAAGACTTGGGTAATTGTAAGGCAGAGTTAATTGGAATTGTGATATGATTGCTAAGATAGGCATGTATAATTGAATCCGTCCAGATCTAAATTGAAAAGTGAACGATGATAATTAATGTACCCATCGTGCTCGTCTCAAGTCTAAATAAAAAACAATCGATTATATTAATATTGCTTTTTTATCTCAGGTATTTGTTAACATAATGTAGTGAAATACCTATCGATATAACCTTTCCTATAATCAGTAAGAGATGACCGATTTATTTACACCTCATTCAATTCCATCCTTTTGATCTTTCTAAATCTCAATAAAATCACACAAGTGATGGAAAAAATCATCATAAACAAAATAAATGATACTATGATGGATATAATGAGTAATAAGAAAATTGCTATGTAATAAGAAACATGAAGAGAATGTTACAATCTATTCTGGCCTTAATAAAACCAAGATCTGAAATTATAAAAAGCAAATATTATTATCCTCAAAATTTTCTAATGTTACCAGAAAACAGAAAGAGTTAGATTTATTATAATTATTCTAATGGTAATTGTTAATTGTATTAAAATTAATTATAATCCTAAAAGATTGAGATTCAAAAGCCTTTTACAATAAATTTTCTAGTTTTTCATATAAGCATTTATAATATTCTTATATACAGTAAATTAATTAACAAAAATTGAAAGCAGATAAATATTATACAACAGAGTATCAATATATTCTTAATAATTAATATTATAATATATTTATATTTGTAAAATATAAAAAATTGGTTTGTATATATATGTCAAAATACTTAACAAAAACTTTTCAGAAATTATTACTATGGTAAAAAAAATTACTTAAAGTATAGAAATAATAATGATTTATATATTTGATAACTTTTTTTATAGTATTATTATTAAGTATTTTCAAGTGAATTAAAGTTTTATTTTTGATATCTATAATATATTCCAATTTTATAATATTATAAAAATATATATATTTTATTAAACACAAAATTCTTATATGTAAACATTATTATTTTAATCTTATATTTCAAGTAATTTGAGTTATAACAGATATATCCTATTGTTTGTTTTAAAAATCTATTGGATACAATTTTATCTAACTTAAAGATAATAGTATATATATATATATATTTATAATAAACTTTTTTTTCTTTATTTACTAATCAAAATAATTTATAAGCTTTTATACTTTTTTTTACTATTGTGAAATAAGTTAACATAATATTTATTATTATTATTTTTTTATTAACTAATTTAAAAATGTTTATTATAATATTTGAAATAATATATTTTAATATAATATTATTTAACAAATAAAACTAAATACTTTTTTATTTTTTCTTAATATAACCTATTGTTTATACTATATATAATTCTCAAGTTATATACTAAGTTTAATATTAATAATATAATAAAAAAGTATATTTGTAATTTATATAATTAAAATAAAATATCAAGTCAATATAAAAATTATCTTTTAATAATAGCTATTTAAATAAAAAAAAATGGTTTATATTCTTTATTACAAGTAAATTCTAATTTAAAAATTTAAGAACCTTCAAAACAACTGATACAATAAAATGAAATTTTTAATTTAAATTTATTCAAGTTTAAAAATCTTGCTTATTTTTTAATTATATAAAAAAAAGCCTATACCAATTTTTTTTTCATTTGTTTTTTTTATCTTTTTTTTTATTAACAATTATAAAAACATTTATTTAAATATTATTATATATACTAAATCAAATATTTTTCAAAAAATATACTCAAATAAAAGTATTGGATCTACTGTTTATTTTAATACAATCTTTATATATAACTTTATTATAATAACATTTATTGTATCATTTTAAAATTTCTAAAACTTTTTGTTCAAAAAATCAAAATTAGTTTACTTTTTTTAAATAATTGTTACTTTTCAATTATTTAATTAAATTTCATTAATAAATTAAAACAAAAATTAAATCAGTTTAAACTAATTTTTCAGTATAATAATAATAATAACAACAATAAACAATATCAATTATATTCTACTATTTATATCAACAAAAGTCTTACTAACAAATAATAAAATATTGAAAAAAGAAATAATAAGTTTATTTATAAAAATCTTTGAAAATATTATAAACTTGTATTATAGCAGTAACAATTATGAGTAAATAAAATAAATAGTAATAATATATTATTTTTAATAAAATATATATAGATAATTTCAAGATATAATATATTAAAATTTTATTTGATTTTATTAGATTATATAAAAATTATATAAAAGTTAAAAATTTTTACTATTTTTAAATTTGATTAAAAATTAAATTTTGAATTATTTTCAAATTTTTTTAATTGAATTGATATTATATTGTTATAATATGATTATTATTTTGCAAAAAGGCATTAAATATGAAACATTTGTTTAACTTTATATTTATTATTACTATACTAACAATCTTTTACATAAAGTCAAATAATTTATTATAAAAATCAAACTAAATATTGATATTATTAATTTATAAAATTTATAATTGTTATTCTTTTTTTTTTAAAAAAAAAAATCGATTATTAGTTTTTATGGCAGATAATATACAGTATGTAAATTTCTTTTAAATGATTAATTTTATTTAAAATAACATACAGTATATGTATACTGTAAATACAGTAAATAAAACTTATCAAAAAAAAAGTTTTATTGAAATCAAGAATGATTATTATACGTATAACCTGTTTATTATATTAATCGTCGATTCTATGTCAAACTCTAATTATACAAATAAATTGTTATGTTCATTATTTTAATTTAATAAATATTTACAGTGCTAAATTATTTTGTAAACAAACACGGCTTACGGAAATATACAGTATATTGTAAATTCTTTAAATCAACCCGATCTTCCTCACAATAAAAGAACACGAAATGATTCGAGTATTTCTGTTTAGAAAAATTATCATTAAATTATTCGCGTGTAAGATTGGTTACCAAAGAAGACATTAATGGAAATTAGTATAGTAATGTGATTCGTTTTTCTTATAATAAATATAATACTTACTAGAAAATTTTTTTTATAAGTAATATTTTAAATTATATTTTATTAAAATAAGCTGATTCAATAAGCTACGTTCGGTGCGTAGGCCAAAAAAGGACATTATGCGAGGAAAACTGATCTAGGATAATAGAAATACTGTAATGGAGAGAACTAATAAAACTATTCCTTCTCTAATATACAGATTTTTCGACCTCAATCTCAACGCCACGAATACGTAAATCGTGTCTTCTGCTTAGCAATTTATTTCTCTTCTCACATCCATATACACCTACTTACAACCAATTTACTAGCAACAAACAGTAACATGCCGAAGTTTGATCAATCGAAACCAAACATCAGTATCAAAAGATTCGATTCTTGCATCGAAACGTTGGATTTAAAAATGTCGTCAATTGTTGCATAATGCATTGAATTTAAGAATGCTGTCGATCGTTGCGGAAAAAATGTGCTTAGGAAATTCATAAAAAAACAAACATAAAGACGGAAAACATAAGGATAAAAACACAATGACGATAGTTATATTACAAAAGGGGAAAAAGATCTATTCACCAGGTGTTTGTAAGAGGATAAAGTGCACCCAACTAGAAGTAGAAGCGTTTATTATGGTCTGAAAGATGATGTAATATATTACAGGTTTTATGGGTGGTTATACAGTATACCTATACGAAAGTTTTTTTCGTTTTTACTATTTTGTATATTTCATACTTGCAAAACAAAAAAATTCTTATAAGCCACCTTCAATCATATGTACTATATCTCTCATCTTATGCAACAATCGTGAATCTACTTGTATGACTTGTTCCTTAATCTACTCGTATAATTTATAAAATCACCTGTTTATGCTTATTGAACCCCCACATAACTTGCATTATCGCATATTGTGGTTTATTCGCGAACCTATTTTACATCACGTTTCGCGAATTCACTCTACAAGTCTTACGTTTCGCAAGCCCACTTACCTTACATATATTCGTGCTCCACAAACATTTTGCGTTTACTTCCATTTATGTCTGTCCCTGAGGGGATATAAGTCACGATTATTCCTTTTAGAAACCCACGAATGCATATTTAATATTATTCTACGTATTATGCAAGAATTCTTGTACAAACTTGTGCAAAATACTACACGGAGAACACTTGCTGTCTCGACATAGACACTCGTTATTTGTATACATGCACCACTAAGTACTAGTCAACTATATTATAAATATAAGCCACATTCACTGTGTAGACATCAAAAGTACTTAATTGTCGTTAATTTAAAAAAGACATGCGAGGAAAAATCAATTTATTAAGAATAAATGTTTTTACATTCGTGATCTTATTTCTAAGTGCGATAGCGATTTCAATTCCTCTCTCGAAGGATGATGATTGTTTTATACCCGATCTAGTTATTTTTGGTGATTCGATTTCGGATAATGGAAATGTATGGAGAGCAACTAATAAAACTATCCCTTCCCCAAAATATTATTTTCAAGGTGAATTTATCTTTTCGTTTTTCTTCACTTATCTTTTCAAAAAGTAGTTATCTAAAATCAATCTTTTCTTTTTTAGGAAGGTTCACTAATGGTCGTGTTTGGATAGAGGATCTGGATTACATGTTACATGCGAACTTAACTGACTTGGCTTACGGGGGCGCGGTCACTAATAATAGCATTTACGAAAAAGTTTATTCTTTTGCTACCAACAGCACTCTTAATTTTACTGACCAAATCCCCTCTATTGACGAGCAAGGTCTCTATTATTTTTATTGTTTTCTTTATCTCTTTTCAGGAATTCTGCTTTACATATATCCATATCTTTTTATATTTTTGTTTCTTTAGTGCTAAGCCTTTTACCAAATTTATCGAATTATCCTCCCGAAACGATATATGTTATTTGGACTGGAAGCAATGACCTTCAGGTAAACCAACTTTGGAAACCCATTTGTTCATTTTAAAAATTTACTTAAGCATTCGTTTTATTCTATTCCAGAGAATTTTCGATTTCAGTCTCAATGTTACGAATGCGGAGATCGTGTCTTCTATCAGCAATTCCATTTCTCTTCTCGCATCCAAAGGGGCACAAAGATTTTTAATAATAACTGTTCCCGCTATCCAATACACACCTATTTACAATAAATTTACCAACAATAATACCATTTTCCGAGATTTGATCGAAAATTATAATGTTTTGTTGAATGGCACCATGTCGGAGTTGGCTCAATCGAATTCAAATATTATCATCAAAGTATTTGATTCTTACGGAGGTTTAGAAAACATCGTAAAGGATCCTCAGGGCGCCGGATTCAAGAATGTCGTGGATTATTGCGTGAATACTACGAATGATGTGGGAAAAAGAGGTTTAGATAATATTCAAACTTATTTGCTTAGAAAAGATCATCTTGAAGATGTTAAACTTGAAGACGACGATGACTATGACGATGACGATGACTATATTACCGATGAGGAATTAACTTTCCATCCACCAAATGTATGTAAAAATCCTGATGAATATTTATGGTGGGATGACGTGCATCCAACTAGAAGAGCACACAAATTATTTGCTCAAAATGTAGCAGCATTCATATGTAGCTTGAAGGAGTGGAAGTGATCACTTGTATTCCGAGAGATAATGTAATGAGTGTTGTGGGCTATTTCTTCACGAAAATTTTTTTAATATTTACATTTTAAGATTGTGAGCTATAATTTAATCGTTTGGATTTTAAAAACTTGTTGATTTTGATATTTTAACTTAAATGAAAATTCTAACATAGATCATCATGTCTATAAGCAATAAGATATAGATATTTACAGTATATCTAATAATCAAATAAAAAAGTAATTTAAAGTATTACATAAATAGATAGGCTAATGGTAAAATTATATGGTATTATATACTGTATAACTAAAATAAATATAATATCCAGAGAGCACACATGTATTATTAATAGCATGACTAATGGCTCATTGTCGTTTATCTTTTTTTTTTGTTTAACTTATGTAATAAGCTAGTATTAAACTATATATTGTAGATATAGTATAAGTTATAAATGTTTGAAATTAATTTTTTATTATTCAAGTTTTTTTTATAAAATATTTTAATAAAAATCCTTTGAAATTGTATTTTTTGAACAAAGGTTTTTTCATTATTTTAGTATAAAAATTAATATAAAAAAGAATTATTAAATTTGCAAAAAAAATCATATCTTTTTTTATAATAATATAAATTTTAAAAAAAATTTTAAAATTAAAATTTATACTGTATACTGTATATTGTGTTTTATTTTATTTTTTTCTTGATTTTTAATACTTTGATATTTGATTAAAAATTTTTAATTAAATAAAATGGGTTTATTATCAATAAATATAATTTCACCTTTAGTATTATCATATTTTTGAATTTTATTTTATGCTGAGTTGATTAATCTTATTTCAAATTTGAATTTATTTATTTTTTTTTTTTTGAATCTTTTGCCTGTTGTGATTTCTGCTGTTGCTTGCTGTTGCTTGCTGTTGCTTTTCTACTTCAACAAGTGATCATGTTTTGGATAAAATTTATCGATTCAACAACTTGTCAAGAGTAATAATTGAAAAATCGCTTGGTTCAGCATCTATAAGATCAAACAGTAATGGTTAGGAAAACGAAAACTACTGTAAATAAAAAAAATTTTTTTTTATATTTCGATGTGTTAAAGAATCATATAAGTTGTGTTAATGTTTGGGTTGTGTCATCTTGATCCCTAGACATTTACAATGATTATCTGCATTGAGAAGAACGGCTTTAATTACTGTATCTTCGCTTATTTATTGTAGGATTATTATAGTACATGTGTTCTCAAGCACCTTCCTCTATTATTAATTTGATTTTCCAAAAAAGATCTTGGAGTTAACTACATTTTTTTTCTTCGAGTTAACGATAATTTGTTATTAATAGAATAATTAGAAACTAACGGAGTTATTTTTTGAAGACATCGATAAGCATTGTAGTGCTTCAATCATTGTGCATGTCTTACGTTTCGCAAATCCGCTTGTGCTCCGCAAACATCTTGTGTTTACTTTCACTTATGGTTCTTAAAAGATTATTGAAATTGAGTCTCACCTTCCTTTTTAGATAAATGCGTGAATGTATTTTCAGCTTTATTCTACGTATGATGCAAGAATTCTCGCACAAACTTGTACGAGTACTCATTGCGGAGAACTCTTCTTTTGTCATTTAGCGAATTTCCGCTGTTAGACATAGACACAACCTTTGTTTTTGAGTACATGGACTAATAAGTACTTGCCGAAAACATTATAAATACAAGTTACGTTCGGCGTTTAGGACACTAAAGTACTTCATCATTGTTGTTACTTTGAAAAAAGGCATCATGCGAGGGAAAATCAATTCATTAACGATCAACGTTTTTACATTCGTGATCGTGTTTTTAAGTGCGGTTGCAATCTCTGCTCCTCTTTCAAAGGATAAGGATGATTGTGTTGTACCCGATTTAGTTTTGTTTGGCGATTCGCTTTCGGACAATGGAAATATATTTAAGGCAACTAATGATACTGTACCTCCTCCATCATTTTATTATAATGGTGAATTTCTCTTTTCGTTTTTTCTTCAACATCGCTTTTTAGAAAGTAGAAATCTAAATAAAAATCTTTTCTTTTTTAGGAAGGTTCTCTAATGGTCGTGTTTGGATAGAGGATCTGGATTACATGTTACATGCGAATTTAACTGACTGGGCTTTCGGAGGAGCGGTCACTAATAATACCTTTTACGAAAAAGTTTATTCTTTCGCTACCAACAGTACTCTTAACTTTACTGACCAAATCCCCTCTATTGACGAACAAGGTCTCTACGATTATACTATTATCTTTGTGTTTATGAATTTCACCTTACTTATATATAATATTGATTTTTTTATTTTCTTTAGTTTTCGCCTTTTTACCAAATATCTCACATTATCCTTCTAAAACGATATATGTTATCTGGATCGGAAGCAATGATTACATGGTAAACTAACTAACTTTGGAATTCATTATTAAAGTATCCATTTTAAGAATTTATTTAAACCTTGATTTTTATTTCCCAGAGGATTTTCGATTACAAGCTCAATGTCACGCATGCGGAGGTCGTCTCTACTGTTATCAAGTCCATTTCTCTTCTCGCATCCAAGGGAGCTCGAAACTTTCTAGTATTAAATGTTCCCCCTATCCAATTAACTCCCGCTTACAACAAATTCGACAATCGCACCGTCATACAAAAGTTGGTTGAAGGTTATAATCTTTTGTTAAATAGTACCTTGTCGACGTTAGCCAAATCGAATCCAAATGTCAGTATCAATTTATTCGATTCTTACGGACTTTTGGAAACAACTGTTAAAAATTATAAAAGCTTTGGATTTAAGAATATCGTTGATCATTGCTTGAATGCTACGAGCAGTACGGGAAAAAGAGGTTTAGAAGATGTTCAAAATTATTTCCGTGAAAAAAGAGATTTAGAAGAAGTTCAAAATTATCTCCGTGAAAAGAGAGCTTCTAAACCTAAGAAGAAAACCAAGAAACCTAAGCATAAAAGCAAAAAACACAAGAATAAAAAAGACGATGACGATGATTATGTTACAAAAGAGGAATTGGCCTTCCATTCGCCAGGTGCTTGTGAAAATCCTGATGAATATTTATATTGGGACAATGTGCATCCAACCAGAAAAGCACATAGAATATTAGCGGCAAAAATAGAAGAATACATATGTGGTCTGAAGGGATGGAAGCGTTAATTCGTAGTCTGAAAGATAATGTAATGTAATGAATCAATGTTATGACTGTTATTTGTGGTCATATTCTTCAGTAAAGGCATAATAAAATTATTGAAATCTATAAATTTCTTATAAACTTTAATCGAATTCGTATTTTATCACTTTCATACTTTGATGTTCTGTTTGGTTTTTAATCTGTTATTCAAATTCATTCTGACCAGATCGATATTACATCATCACGAAAACCCTGAACAATTTGTAAATAAATTGATTATTGAATGAATGAGAATGATGATAATGCGGTAATAATAGTAAAGATGACTATTATTCTCTTTGTCACCTTTTAAATTACTGATCCAAATATGGAAATAGCGGTCGGTTAAAAACGTTGTTTTATGCCGGCACGGGAATATACTAATATGGTTAGTCATTATGCATGCCATTGATAAATTACCCGTTCGAATGTGCTAGTACAAAATAAGCGAATTTGGAAATCACCTGCCAAAAATCAATTTTGTTTTTTTGTTTTTTTCTTTTTTCAATTGACCGCAAACACTGTACACCTTGCAAAAATCATCAATGAGAGCGTAGGACAATTACACGAACTTTGGTTATCCAAAAGAAGATTGAACGCGGTTATAATAAAAAAAAAATTTTTTTTTTTTTTTGAAATTTAATGACAATTTCATGCAATCTAATCTAATCGATTAAATTAAATAAAGTTCAATAAGAACAAAAAAAAGATTTTATTTACAAATACCTTTTATAATTTAAATTAATAAAGTTGCCTAAAATGGCAACTTACTATTATGACTGCAAGTTTTTTTATTTTTGAATTTTATAATTTTTTTATAATGTAATTAACAAATACTTATATATTGTAAACAATTGTGAAATGTATATATAAACAAAAAGCTTTATTAATCCAATAAATTTATTGTTTTTTTAAAAAATATTGATAAATAGTTTAATAAATAAATATAAATTTAAAAAAAGAAATCCTAATTAATAATACATTAAACAAACAAAATGTAACTAATAACAGAAAAATTCAAGTATCATTAAATATTAATTGAATTTTATAATAGATGTAATATAAAAAAAATTTTTTTAAAAAAAGCTTTTCTTATATATTTGTATAATCAAATATACTGTATATTTATAAACTATTGGATATATATTTTTTGATACTTTTCAATTAAATAAATAAATAAATAATTTAATGAATGAGATTTTTTCTTTTGATTATAAATTTGATATTTGAAAATAAAGTTTTATAAAATTGTAAGTTTACAATTATTGTCTAATAGTCATTGCTTAAATTAATACAAAAAAGTATTATATAATATTCTATAAAAATTTTTTTTGAAATGTCATTTCTATTTAATGATTTTTAAATATTATATTAGTTACAAAACTTTGAAAATTAATATATATACATATATATTTTTTTAATATTATATTGTTTTTAAAAATATATTATTTTTATATTATTTATTATGAAAAAACATATAAAAACACACTGATATAAAAACTTGAATTTTATAAATATCAAGCTAAAAAATTTATATAATATTGGTTTTAATTATATATTATTTATTGATAGTATTTATTTTTATTTATTTAATAAAAATTTAAAATTTAATTATAAGTAAAAATTAAAAATTTTTAAAAAAATTTTTTTAATAAAAGTTGATCTTAGACAAATTTAAAATTTTTTTAAATTAAAGTTTATATAATTATAATCAGTTTTGTAAAATTATTTACAAAGAATAACTTTAATTATTATAATTTTAATGGTTTAATTATAAAAATTTTAACTTGTATTAAAAGTAAAGTAATTTTTTTACTTTAAATATATATTAACTTTTATATAATTTTTTATATTAAAATTTTAAACACAAAGTTTAAAATTATTTATTTTGAAAATTTTCAATAAAACTTTAATTTTTTACTTAATAAAGTTAATAAAAAATATCTTAAACTATATTTTTTATAATATAAATAAGTTACAAAAATTAATATTTAATATTTTAAATATGCAGGCAAATTTGCTTGTATTGTAATTTAAGGAATAACAAAAAAATTCTATAAATACTACAAATATTACAATATTAATTATAGAATTAAAACTTATTAAGAAATATTCAATTTTAAATAATATAATATAAAATTATTTTATTATTCAAGCAATAAATATAATATTGAACCAGATTCATAATATTTAAATTATTTAAAATAAAATTAATTAATTAATTAATTAATGATATACAGTATATATAAAATAGATATTTTTAATTATAAGAATTACTATTATCAAAATTTAAAATTATTTATTATTAAAAATAACAAGAACTTGTTTATATATGAAAAATTAAATAATAAATAAATTGTTAAAATAATATTTTTTTAAATTATCTTTTTTATTAAACTAATACTAATCAAATTTAATTTAACTAATTTCTATAATCCATTTATATATAATATGGTTATATAATTAATTATATTTAATTATTATTAAAAGTTTATAATAATTCTATTAAATATAAATTTACTATAATAATATACAATATATAATTTTTATATAAAAAATGTTTTTTCTAAAAAATTTGAAATATTAAATTTAAATTTAAATTTTAAATTCTTTTTTTTTTTTCTTTTAATATAAATTGAATTTGAAATAAATTTGATTTTATATTATTAATATTAAAAAAAATTTAAACTTGAAAAAATATCTTTATACTTATATTATATAAAACTTATTTAAAAAATTATTTTTTTAAATAATTATATACTTGTTCAAACTTATATAAAAATCTTAAGAATAATTTTTTAATATTTTAGTATAATAATAAAGATATCAATTTTATGAATTAATTTATAATACTTGTTTATTAATATTAAAAATATTATTATTCTTTTTTCAATTATTTAAAATACTTTTAAATTGGTTTTTGTAAACTTGCTTTTACTAAAATCTTTAAAAATTTGAAATTGACATTTTAAAAGAATTAATTGATTTTTAAGATTTAAATTTATAATATTTAATAAATTTAAAGAAAAGATTTTTTAAAATTATTAATATCTTTATTTTAATTTTGAAAATTAAAACTTGATAAATATCTTTTATTTTAATAAAATTAAATTTCATATTCTCTGATTTATAAGTGATTACAATATTTTTTAAATATTGAATTAAATATTTATAATATTTTACTTTCTTAATTTTAAAATTTCTATTATAAGAAGAAATTATTTTTTTTAATACATTTTTATATTGTTACGAGGAAAAAGTAATGGGTAAATTATAGGAAATTGTAAGGGTAAGTATAATAATAAGTATATTAAATATAATATATATAATATATAAAATGTATATAAATAGAAAGAGGAAGATCAGATCTTGTAAAAAGTTCTACTCGTATAATAAAGATTGTCTTTCTTGATAAAGTTTGGTTTGGTAAGAATATTCCCAGTGTAGTGCAGTAAAAGAAACTACTGCACGCGAAGTAACTTGATAGAACGCAGACCGATGGACTGATCTGCATTGGCGTTACCAGACTCTGGCCAAATTCACATGCCTCTTTTGAGAAGCAAGAACTCATCCAAACGTGATACAACGTGAGTCAGATTGAAACAACTGACTCGTTGTGTTTTCACCATAACAATATAATAAAAAATTTTAATATAAACAAATAATTTTTAATTTATTTTTCTTTAATAAATTCATTTCTCTTTTTAAAAAATAGCAAAATACTCAAGTAATATAAATAAATCTTTTATTTCATAATTGTTATATATTATTCTCTTAAATTTTAAAATCAAAATTTTATTAATTAATTTTTGAATAACTATTATATTAATAAATTTAAATATAATATTATCTTTTTTTTAAAAAAAATACTTAATTTTTATTTGATTTCATTTTAATATTATTCAACTTAATATGTCAAGTAATCAAAGAAAAAATTAAGTTTTAACTAATTATATTATAATTAATATTTTTAAATATGCTTATAGATTTTTATAAATTATAAAAAATAAAAGTAAAATTAATTTATTAATTAATTAATTAATAATACAAGTTAAATTCAATTTGTATTAATCAATAAAAAAAACAAATTTCTTATAATAAAATAAATTAAATTAAAAATAATTAAAAAAAATTAAAAAAGCAAATAAAATATAAATAATAAATTATTATATTTTATATTATTAATATACAATATATTATAAAAACTTTTTTCATTAATCTTGTCAATTCAAAAAACAAATATTTCAAAGAAATTTTATATTTCTTTATAATAAAGTCTATATATATTTTTTTAATAACATTTTATTTAGAAAATCCCCGTCTATCACCAATTTCCTAACTAGGAAATATTTCTCAGAAACAAAAACTTATCAAGTTCTTTATCAAAACACTTCTAACTCCAAGAAACCACTACTAACAGGTATAACCTTGCAAGCACATATATTTTATTAACTTATCAATTTATAGATATTATAAGGAAAAAACAACAACTTGTCCTCTTCTTGTAAGAGGGGAAGATAAAAATCAAACTTCCTGATTCACAGTAAGGTCTCAGGAAGCCAGCATCCCTATCACCACTACAGCCAGTCGTGTGCCAGGTTA